ACACCCACCACAGGAGGCCCAAGAAGTCAGGTACTGACTCCCTTGAGACCCAGCACAGCAAGCAGTGAGTCCTGGGCCTGGTCCCACAGGCTCATGGTCTGGGGCTGCTGTCAGAGCAGATGCTTGGCTCGGTGGTGGTCCCTGCTCCACTCACCTTGACTTTCACCACGTATCTCCTCTCTGTCTGATCCACAAGCTCAGGGGACATCAAAGGACCCAGAGCAGAAACATCCACTTCTGGGAGAAGGTCGGGGTGACCCATCATCTCTGGGCTGGAAGGCAGAGAGGTAGGTCAGGGCTGGGTAGACCTGTGTTTCCCAGAGTTCATACCTCTCCCTCTGTCCTCCTGCTGGTCATCCCCTGGTAGCCAGAGCCACTCTACCAACCCACGCACATGCTGGTGAACAACCCAGCTCTCCACAACAACCCCTGCTTTGTCAGTGCCAGGCTTGGTGCTGACCTGTGGTACACGTGGAGCGCCCACTCAAGGAGGAGGAAGAGCCCCTGTTTGTCCAGGTCCTCCCGGAGGATCTCCTGGAGGTGGCTGGCGAGGGCCTGGTGGTAGGTGGCAGTGCAGACACTGAGGATGTTGTAGTGAGCTGGGACGCACTGGACCATCAGGTCCTTCACCACGGTCAGCTCACACACGATGTCCCTCTGCAGCGCTGCCAGGTGCCTGGCCAGCCCCGGCCCCTCAGCGTCCACAGGAGCACCGTGGAAGCGGGCTCCTCTGATGGTGTCCTGCAGCACGTGGTAGAACTTCTGCCTCCAGCCCTTGGGGCGGCCAGGGGGCAGGAAGGTGGCCTCCAGGAGCAGAGTGTCATCTATTTTCTCCTCCCGCTCGATGATCCTCACAGCGGTGACGAACAGAACGGGGTCCTCCCGCACCAAGCGCAGGCTGCCGCCCACGATGTCCCACAGCCGCTTGGCCAGGGTCTCGTTGAGCTGCTGCAGGCCGCTGAAGTAGGACAGCACAGTTGCCTGGGCACCGGAGAGCCCGCGGAGGTGCAGCTGGGAGAGGATGTCGTCCCGGAGGTGCTCCACCATCATGAGCTCCGCGTGGGCCTCCAGGAGACGCTGCCCGTGGAGCAGCTGCAGGGTATGGGAAAAAACCTCGTGCACTGTGGGAGAGGGAGGAGGGATGCCAGGGGGTCTGCACCAGGGGCATGGGCGCAGGTTATCAGGGAGAAGGGGCTGAGGTCTGGGGGTCCGGGAGCACCGTGCTGGATCAGGCCCTGGGGAGGCAGTGAAATCTCTATCCACGGAGACTTTCCAAACCCAACAGGCAAAGCCAGAGTGACCTGCTCAAGCTTTGCCACCAGCCCTGCACGGACTGAAGTTCTCCCCTCTGCCTTCCAGCCCAAATCCACCGGGACCAGGCCAGCGCCTTTACCTGAGAAGATCTGTGGCAGCACCTGGACCACAGAAGCCAGCTGGACGTGCTCCTCCACCAGCGCCCTCATCTGCTGCAGGCCCTGGAAGTGGTCGGCGCTGTCCAGCAGGGCCCAGCGCGCAGCCCCCAGGTCCTGGCACACGCTCTGCACCTCCTGCGCCGCCGACCGCAGCTGCTCCAGCCCCGCACTCACCCCCTCCAGGTAGGACTGCACGGTTGACTGGGGAGCAGAAGGGGATGGAGGGGCAGTGGAGCAGCTCCACGAGGCAGGGGGACTCCCACACCGTTTGTCCCGGCCCTGTGTGGTCTGTGTTGCAGGCGCTCTCCCGGCCCCACAGGTCACACCTGCCCCTGTCATCACACCCTCAGACCATTATATCTCTTGGACCTTCTGTGATGGCCCCGCTCCACTGCACACCCAGCTTCTAGGAACCCCCTCCAGCAGCAGGAATGGCTCGTAGGGGGTGGGGTGAGGGGCAGTGACTGCTGTGCACGAGGTGGGAGAAGGGCATCACTTTGGGGGGGGTGACCAAGACCACGGGATGAGCAGTAACCAGATGTCTCCTTTCACTTTAAAAATACTGCTTTGCTTCTGCAAAAGAGCAGCAGGCCACAGGGCCCTTGTGTACCCCCCCCAAGGCATGTGGATGGCATGAAGTACCTCAGTGGCTGTACAAACCCTCCTCCCAAATTTGATTTCCATCATTTCCAGCCCTGCAGTGGCACTGGCACATCTCCATGCCCTATCCATGCATCTAATGCCTATCTCCTAATGCCACTGTCCTTCTACCCAGCATCACCAGCAACAAGTTGCTTTCTCTGAGGCCACATCACTTAGAACAAGTTGCCTCCTGGATAATTCAGCCACACTGAGAGTAGGAGAAACCATCTCCAAAATAATCAGGAGAAGGTTGCAGTGCTCAGACAGATTGGTCATTCCTTGGGTCACGTAAAAACATCACCCTGAGGAGGGAGGTGTGCAGGGGGACTGGAACAGCCCTTGCAGATGTGTAGAAATGGAATTTTCCCTGTGGGGACCCGAAGGCAGGGGCAGGTTGGAGCTCTGTGCCTCCTCCCAGCTGTGAGGAAGGGCAGCCTTTGGTGCTGGGATGGGGCAGTGATAGGGAGCGCTGACTCCTGCACGTGGGATGTGCTGAACCCCCTTGGTGTTTTATTCTGAAGGATGGTCAGAAACACGGGAGACTCATTTTAACACCTCAGACACGGCCTGAGAATAGGGCAGGGCGTGGGCGTGGGGGTTACCAGATCTTTTCTCCAAAACAATTGCCATTTTCCCCTCAACCGCCAGCCAAAGGAAAAGATTTTGCCAAAAGTAGACAGAAAGAAGATTTAATGCACAAGAGGGCACCCTGGCAGGGATCCCTGCCTGGAGAGGCGGTGAGGCTGCGGGTGGTCCACGTGGCAAACACCCACCTTCAGCCGGGACTGGATGGAGCTGTTCCTCTGTGTCTCTCGGCTCCGGTAATGCCCAAGCCCCTCCAGTTTCTCGGGGCGGTAAAACACCCCTGAAGCCCATTTGAGAGCAGCTCCTCTGGCCAGCTTCTCAGCCTTCTCTGCTTCCGGCCACTCCTCGTCTGGGGATGAAGCCAGGGGTCAATGAGCACAGCGAAGTGGGGCAGGAAGAGCCCCTGAGGCCGGAGGCAGGAAGCTGGCTGCCAGCAGACTTCCAAGCACGTCCCAGCGTGGGAAGCTGGACAGGATGGCACCAAGTGGGCTCTTCCACAAGGGCCCCACGAGGTGCCACAGCTACAGATTGGTATTGTCACAGTGGCTGTGGCAGTGAGAAGGCTGCCCTGGGGAACTGTGACTCAGCCTGCCAGCTCACGCTGTCCCCAGGCTGAGCACACATCCCCACTGCTCCCACAAACACAGTGGTGGGTTCTCTGAGGGGGTGTGATGCCACCTGGGAAGTCCCCAGCAGGGCTGAGGCTCTGGCAGTGAGTCAGCAGGAGGGATGGAGAGGTGGCAGCTCTCGCAGCAAGGAGAGCCAGGCAAAGGTGAGGACGGGAGGCTTCTAAAAGCTCCCACACTGTGGGGGGCCCAGTGTTCCCCTCGGCACAGGGTCCAAAGCCATGTCAAAGGCCTCCTGGGCAAAGTGGAGGGCTGAGAACCAGCGCAGTTATCACACACCAGTCTCTGTCCCCAGCGGGGAGGGGGGGGTATGCAGTTTAATCGCTCCCCCCACCCCATCCCCAGCCACTCCCTGCAGCCCCAAAGCGATGTCACCCCGTGCCAAGCCAGGCTCCCGCTCTGCTGGGAAGCCACGGGCAGCCTCGGGTCCGGGGGGCTCCGGAGGAGGACAGCAGCTTCGAGGATAAGATGCGCAGGGAGCAGCGCTGCCCCCGGCGCAGATATCACCATCGGGAAGCACAGCCAGGCTTCCACCCCACCCAACAACACAAGGCACCAGCCCACGGCACAGGGAAAAGGTCCAAGGGGCTGGTGAGGCAGAGGGCAGGGGAGCCCCCAGAACGCGCTGCAAGCAGTAGCATCCCTCCCCTGCCCAGCTCGCCGGCTCCCCGGGGCGCATCACCCCCGTTACCTCTGGGGCTGGCGGCGCGCTCGTCCTCCGCAGACATGCCCATGGTGTGTGGATGGAGCTGCGGGGGCCAGGGCAGGGCTGCGGAGGAAGCCGGCAGGGCTCCGTTTCCTCAGCCGGAGCAGCCGCGCTCCTCAGGGCCCCATTGTGTTCCCGCAGCCGCGCTCAGGACGTCAGGAACGGGGGGCGGAGGGGAGGGGGGGACACGGGAAGGCACCGCGACAGCCGCAGGTCTCGGGAGTGCAGACCGTGGGATCGTTTAGGTTGGAAAAGTCCGGCCGTTAAGCCAGCACTGACAAACCCACCACTACACCGCGTTCCCAAGTGACACATCCTCACGCCTTTCGAGCCCCTCCAGGCACGGTGACTCCATCACCGCCCCGGGCAGCCTGTTCAGTGCCTGAGCACCCTTTCCGCGAAGGTATTTTCCCAATATCCAATCTAACCCCCTCCCTGAGGGGAGCCTCAGCTTGAGGCTGTTTCCTCAGGTCCTGGAAGTCACAGCCTGCGTGCCCTCCCCTGCATCCCCCGTTCCCCCGGGCACACAGCCCCTCTCCGCGCTCCGGGGACGACAGCGGGATGCCCGGGTGCCCCTGTCAGACCTCAGCCCGTCCCTGGTGGGAGCCCCTCGAAGGCTGGACCAGCCGGGAAGGGATCCCCTGTGCCAGCCTCACCCGAGGGGGCGAAAGGGCGTGGGAGCGGGGATGGACCCTCCACGGCTGGGGATGGACCTGGGGATATCCCCCCTGCCACAAACCGCCTTCCACGAGGCACAGGCTGGAGGATTCCCAGTGTGGAGGATTCCTCTGTGTGTGCGTGTGTGTTGGAGCACACAAACCGCCCCTGCCACCGGGCACAGGGCGGAAGGTTTGGCTTTGGTACCACAGCGCGGCGAGGTCACGGGGCGCTTCCCGCGGCTTTACCAGGGGGCGATGCCCGTACCAGCACTCACCCCCCCACACCCCTCACCCCGTGTAGGAGGTGTCGGGGAGTTCCCCCGTCCCGCCCCGTCCCCGTCCCCGCCCCGGAGGTTCCCGGGGAGCCCCGCGGCCCGGAAGCGGATGCGCGGCCGCGGAGCCGGCGGCGGGCAGATGGCGGAGTGCGGGGCGCAGCCCGCCGGGGGTGGCGGCGGCGGGGCTGCGGGCGCGCCCAGCCGGCACGAGAAGAGCCTGGGGCTGCTCACCACCAAGTTCGTGTCGCTGCTGCAGGAGGCCAAGGACGGCGTGCTCGACCTCAAGCTGGTGCGGGGGGCTGCCGGCGGGGGGGGCGAGGGCTCCGCCGCGCCGGGGGTGGGTCCGGGTGGAGCTGCTGCTGCTGCTGCTGCTGCTGCTGCCGGGGGGAGCGGGGCCCCGGCAGGCTTGGAAAGGGGGAGCCCGCGGGCACGGGGTGCAGCAGGTGATTGAGGTTGGAGACCGGGAAAAAAAAAAAAAAAATCTTCACGGGAAGGGCGGCCGGGCGCTGGAAGCGGCTGGCCAGGGCAGCGGTGGGGTCACCGCGCTGGGGAGTGTTCAAAATCCACGTGGGTGCGGTGCTCAGGGACGGGGGTTAGCGGTGGGATTGGTGGTGCCGGGTTAATTAATGGTTGGGCTCGATGGTCTTGGAGGACTTTTCCAGTCTTGTGGTTCCAGGGGCAGGGAAGGGGTCCCCGGGGGTGCAGCAGAGCTGCCAGCCGTGCAGCCCTCACGCCTCTCCTTGCTCTTCCATCCCAGCCCTTCTGCCCACCCCATCGGGCTGTCCCACCCGCTCTGCCTTCGCCGGAGCCTTGCCCGGCGTTGCAGGTGTTTGTGTGCTTCAGTTGGAACCCGGTTTGACTGCCTCGTTCTTTTCTGCCCTCTTGCCCCTCAGCGAGGTGCTGCTTGATCAGCGGCACCGTAATGATCCAGCCCTTTAAAACCTCCGAGACCTATAGAAACTGTTCCTCCCTGCAGCGCTCAGACCTCCCGGCAAACACCAGGAGGGGGAGCGTGGTCACATTCACCTGCCGGAGGTTGTCCCCGATGCCTTTAGCCTGTGGAGAAGTGCTCTGTGAATGCGTCTTGCTTCTTCGTTTTTTAAGATCTTCACCTAGAGGAAGTAACTAATCCCTGGCCTTTTCTATAGGTGAAGTTCCTTTGCTATGGCTTATGCAAATACCTCTCACTTGGCCACGTGTGCAAGTGCTCTGACCCTCCTCAGGGAGCAGACAAGTGCCAGAAAGCCCTGAAGATGCAGGGGCTGGAGGAGTCTCCTGGCTCCTTGCCTGTGCCAAGTTGTTGTCTCTTTGGATTTGGCAATATTTTCCTGCTTGAGATGTCCCTTAGGTGGGCTCATGTTGGTCAGAGTGATTTGATTTGCTCAGTTGTGCAGTGTAGGGTCTGCAGAGTCCCAGCTCGTTACTGGTGAGTGAGGAGGGATGTGGTGGTTCCTGTGCTGACCCGCTCTGGCTGCTGCCACTGACTTTGCTGGTCCTGGCTGTGCACACATTAACTCTTGCTGGTGCCGGGTTACTGTGTAGTAGTGGAAACGGTGCAGTTCTTCGTGTCCCGAAACATGAGGGGAGGAGAGTTGTGTGAGCAAGGTGGGGAAACCCCAGAGCTGCTCATGCTCGCTCTCCACCTGGCATCCTGTCTTTTAAACAGTGGAAAAATTGCACCTTTTCACGTGCCTCTTGAAAAAAGTGTTCTTTATCATCAATATCAGATCTGATTTAGAAAAGGCCTTTTGAATATTGACTGACAGAACTGCTGTCAGTCACACAAACAGCCCTCAGCATTCTCCTTCCCAACCCCATCTCTTTTACCCTGAAGGAGCACTGAATTTTTAGGCTGCTGAACCAGCATTTTCTAACCCTGCTTTGCAGCTGGGGAACGGGGATTTTTTGGATCCAGTGTGAGCAGGATGGCTGGAACTTGGTTTGTGTTTAGTAGGGGGGGTTGCAGGGTAAGAAAAGGAGCGAAGGATGAGTGACTTCTTCCCGTGGTCCCATGACATTGTGACAAGTTACATCTCTGTAACTTGAAGCGCTGGAACAGCAGAGGTATGAGATGGGGAGCGAAGTACTTGGCCAGGAATTGGTCTGAGGGGCAGGAAGGAGCTCAGCATGACTGAGAGCGTGGAGTTAAGTGTCTTAACCTTTTTTGCAGGCTGCGGATACCTTGGCTGTGCGACAGAAGCGACGGATCTACGATATCACAAATGTGCTGGAAGGCATCGGGCTGATCGAGAAGAAATCCAAGAACAGTATCCAGTGGAAGTGAGTGGCAGGGATGGTCTAAATCGTTCACAGGTCCCTTCCAGTGCAGGTCTGAGTGACAGTGGGGTTAAAATGCCCTGTGCAGAGGGAGGTTCCTCAGTGGTCCGTGCCTGTGCTTCCCCCAGCTGGGCTGTGCTGACGGCAGCAGTGAGGAAAGCTGAAATATGTACGGCATGTCTCCTGCAGCAGAGCTGTTATTTTGGTACTAACTAAATATTTACAGTGCCTTGGGCTGGAAGAGATGCCTGTCATGAGCACTGAATATGAGGTGGAACCCTGCTGGTCTGTGGGAAGTAGAAAAATGTATTGTAGAAACATTGATGTTCTTGGAAGGGGAGGATCTAGAGCAGGTACAGGCGAGGCTTTCCAGGCAATCTGTCCTTGACATTGTGAGGGGTGACAATAAGAGGCTAGAAACATCTCTGAGAGTTTGGGGCTGTTGTGGTTGCCTCCAGAGGCTGATGCATCTCGCTCCTTTTCACTTTGCCCAGAGGGGTGGGTCCTGGCTGCAACACCCGGGAAATAGCTCACAAACTGATCGAGCTGAAGGCAGACATAGAGGACCTGGAGCAGCGGGAGCAGGAGCTGGAGCAGCAGAAGATGTGGGTTCAGCAGAGCATCAAAAATGTTACAGAAGACATGCAGAACAGTCGATATCCTTTGTGTGAACTCATGTTCGCTTGCTGGGCCGGAAAGCGGAGACCTGAGGGCTGGGTTGGTGGGGACCTGTTGCTGCTGGAGAAGCTGCACTGCAAGAGTCGAAAGGCAGTGCCTGGCTTTGGAATTAGGGTGACCGTCCAGCCTGGGAACCTGCTTTCTCTGCAGTGCACAGCTTCTCCTCTGTCTTGTGGAAGCAAAAGACACTGTCATGTTTACCACGGTGAGAAAAGTGCTTCTTTCTGAGTCACAGGTGGCACTTTCTTGAGAGCAGAGCTGCTCCTGTGGCTCAGCTATCTCAGGATGTGAGCTCTGACGAGCACGTGGCTTGCAGACCACTTCAGTGTGGCATGGAGACCCTCTGGGAGTGGCATTCCTTGTGCTTGGGAAGGAAAGAAAGGCCAGGTGTCCTTTGAGCTCTCAGCCTGTGCAGGAAGCTGCAGCCTTTCTCCTTAACCTTGGAAACATTAGCATATGTGACACATGAAGACATCTGCAAGTGCTTCACAGGTGAGGAATTGGTGCTCCATGATCAAGATGTGGACTCTGCAGTCCTGTCAGTCTCTGCCAGCTGCTCTCCTTTCTCCAGGGAAGAGGGGGCAGCAGACCACAGGCTGCCCAGCAGCATCAAGTTAAATGTAGTGTGAGCTCTGATGCCATCCTGGGGTTGTGTGCCACTGAACTGTAGCTTTCTTGTCACCCTCAGAGGGGCCAGGCAGTATTTTTTACTTGTGCCCAAAGGAATACAGCTGTTGCTCCTAAGGAATTCTTTTGGCTGGGTGTCACTGTCTGGGTGTATGTGTGTTATGTTGGAAACCCTTTATTTTGAGGGCTTGGGTGGGCAGTGTTCTTATAACAGAAAACATTTTATTGCATGGTAGAAACTGGGCTGTAAGCAGGGAAGTAGGATAAAAGGTGGTCCCTTCAGCTGCATCATCCTCCCTACTAACAAGAGTGCAAGAAGGAGATAGAGAAGAGCAGGACAGAAGGGAATACCCCACTTGCCCTGTCCTCACTCCCCTGTGTGCTGCTTTCCTAAAGTTGGGGTGGGGGACCCGTATCAAAAGTCTTGCATTCTGTCTCTCTGGGGCAAGAGTGAAGAAAACCCACCCGAGTCTTCGCTTCTCCTACTGCCAATTTCAGTGACAGAGATGTAAGACCAAAATAACCCTGGTGGCCATCGTGCAGTGTGGCAGCCCTGCACTCCCCCAGCTGTTCTTCCCAGCTGTGGTGGTGCAGAGTCACAGCTCCTTTCTGCTTCGGTGGACACCTGACCTCTCCTGACCTGGCAACCTGTGTCTGCTTGCTTGCTGCAGAGATTGATTGATCCTGAGCTCCCCCAACCACGTGTCTGACTCTCCTGTCTCCTCCAAGCCCTCTTCTCACCCTGCACTACGTCAGCTCTTCTGTTTGCCATCGTTGCCCTTGCGCTTTCCTTGTTCACCGGCATTTACGCTGCTCAGGTTCCCCCCTGGTGTAACAACTGCATCACCACCCCCCACCTCGGCTGTGCTGCTGCTTCTGGTTGAAGATTGAACCTTTGGGGGGCAGGGATTGTGTTTTCAGTTTGACAGTGCTTGGGGCCACATGGCTGGTGACAGCCTGGAAGGGTTTACTGGAGGCCAGCAGACAGCTCACTGCTTGGCTGGTTGAGTGTTTTGCATTTTATTGCACCTGGTTTTTTGTAAACCGGTTTGTGTCTGAGGTCAGACCTCACCAAAATGTGCAGAGATTAGATCTTACTGAGGGCAGGTCTGAATTCCCTCTAGAACAGAGGGCTACTCCGTGTTTTTCCATTGTCTGTCCAGTTTTCCTGTATGAATATGCCTTACATGATTCTTTTTCCTCTCCTGAACATCTGAGTCTTACAGAGATTCTTAGTTGGACCTCTTGGGTCCTTGAACTGTGGTGCAGGCTGAATTTCAGCTCCTGGTTTTTCTAATCAACTGCTATTGATCTTGCTTTCTCCAAGATTTCCATGCTTGGGCTCTTGTCAAATGATACTCCATTCCTTGGATTAATCAAAAAAAGAAAGAAGTAAGAATATGTTCGTTTTTAGTGACTGGAAACATAATTTTCCCATCTGTTGTTGTGATGCATTTTGCAATTGCAGATTCAAAAAGGAAGTGGAAATGCACTGTGAGCTGTTTTGTAAAGTTATTTGGGATGTAGGTGCCAAGGGAGATAGAAACCCAGCACCTGTCCTTGAGACTAACAGGATTTAAAGCTCAAGCTGGTGACTCTGAGCTTTGCTATCCATTTTTAATGCCTCTTACATTTTTCTTAAGTATAGATTTGTTAAACAAGTCCCATCTGATTGTCAAATCCTATGTTATTTTTAATCCCTTTGCCTTTCCCTGATCTGACCTTTGATTGCTTGCCTGAAATTAAGGGATGTGCTTTTCTGCTCTCCCCTCTCTCTCATAGCTCTGGGGATCTTCTGTGTTAATTATCAAGTGAAGCTTAATGCAGAATACTGGTGAACTGTGAATATTAACCACCCCAAAGCTTAAACATTCAGAGTGAAAGCTGCAAGCTGCTTGATCTGAATATGTCAGACGCTCACAGAGCTGGTGTTTCTCTGTTCACGTTTCTCTAAACCCAGACATGGGCTGGGAGCTGCTCACCTGTGACTTGTGTTATCAGGGCACAGGTTTTAAGGAGCTGCAGGACTTGGAAAGGAAGGATGACCCCATCTCTCCACTGGCAGTCCAGCTCTTTTGTTTATAATTCACATACAAAAGCCTGTGACAGCAGAATGAGGAGTACTTCTCTTAGCATTCATATATTCTTAAGAGTGAATTTAAGCCAGCCCTTACAAGGAAAAGAAATAGTCTTGGTGAGGACACTGCTGAAAAACTTTGGGGTTGCACTGGGAGAAACTTTGCAGGTTCTTTGTGCCCTGGGTGTTGGCACGCTGGGAGCTGTAGGATGTGCTTGGGATGGAGATGTCTTCCTAGAGGATTGCAGTCCTGGAGGATTGTCAGGAGATAGGGGGGGTTTGGGGAGGGTTTCTTCCTCAGTGCTTAATTATCATCCCACCAGCTTGTGCCCACTGACTGGTCTGTTTTCACAGGGGACACCCTCCTTGTGATTAGAGCCCAATCTGGCACACGTTTGGAGGTGCCCATCCCTGAGGTGAGTGGCAAATACATGGGCAGGGGGGGGTGTGTGTGTACACCTTGTGTGCACATCTTGTCTGTGGGAAACTGATGTTCTGTTCAAAAAGGGCTTTTAATGTATGCGTTGTTTGCTTTTGACTTTTCCCAGGGCCTGAACGGGCAGAAGAAATACCAGATCCACCTGAAGAGCACGAGCGGCCCCATCGACGTTCTCTTGGTCAACAAAGATACCTGGAGCTCTCCTCCTGTCGTCCTCCCTGTCCCTCCCCCCGAAGACCTCATTCAGTGCCAGGCAGCTGCGCCCTCCAAGACGCCAATCCCGCCGCTCACCCACTTCCAGGAGGCCTCTGTTCCCAGCAGCACCCAGCCCTCCACACCAACACCCACCAGCACTCAGGACCACGGCCCTCCCACACAGAAAAACGCAGGCACAGGTGAGAGGGAGCTACAGGAGGCGCATCCTTTCGCCTTGGTTAGTGGGACTGGTTGTGTTGAGGGAAATCAGCCTTGAGGGGGTAGTGCCAGCCTGTAGGGGCACGTGTAGGGGAGATCACGCAGGTTCATTGATGAGCAAAAGCTTGCGAAAGGGTCATTTTGAGTCTTTATCCAAGCTTTCAGTTTGAATAAAGGTGGTCAGAAATACTAGATTAGGTTGGTTGTGGCTTTGCCCGCTAAATTTTGAAGGCCCCCAGCGATGGAGATTCCCAGCTTCCCTGGTGAGCCCTTTTGGGGCTACAGCACCCTCTCAGTGAATTCTCTTATCCTAAAGTTTGGATCCTTTGAGCTCATATTGTGCCTGTTTTGCAGTGTTACATCGCTTGACACCAGTGAGTTCTTAAATTTGGTAACAGCTGTTCAGGTAGCTTCAGGCTGCTGTTAGGTCACCTCTCTGCCTGGCTGATCAAGCCCAGCTCCCTCCACTCTTCCATGTGCCCTAGACCCACAGGTAGCTTGGTAGCCCCTCAGCTGAATCTCCCACAGCTTTCATGACCTGGACAATGGCCAGAGCTGGACACAGCGTTCCAAGTGCATCCTCAGCCCCAAGCAGGAGGACAGTGACTTCCCTCGCTGTGCTGGCCATGCTTCTCCTGGTGGAGCTGTTCATTGCTAGCTGGCTTGTTTTCACTGCTGTGAGAGGTGTGCTGCAGCTGCTTTGGGGGTGGTGGGAGATGAGGAGATGATGTCCCTGCGTGTGTGGCTCTTTCCAGAGTGCGATGTCCCTGCGGCAGAGCCCAAGAGCGGCGGCGACGCCGACAGCCAACCGGCCGGGCTGGATGCACAACTGCTCCAGTCCTCTGCCTCCCTGGACAGCAGCTCCGTCCTGCCCAGCACCTCTACCTCCTTTGAGCCCATCAAGCCCGACCCCACGGGAGGTGAGTGTGCTCCCCTTGTTTCACGTGTCGCTCCAAAATCACGCAGTGAGGGAAATCACGGAGCGAGGGAAAGGCTGCTGGGCCTGGAGGAAGGAGCTGAACTCCGTTCTGCCGTGGCTGTCAGCCAGGCTCTGCCAAGGATGAGTAGGCATTTCCCTGTGAGGGTGCCAGGGGACCTGGTGAGAAGGTGACTTGCCTAGTGTCCCGCTGCTTTTTTTTGACATCAGTACTAGAAAAATCTGTGAGGGGCACCTGCATGACACATCTCTGCTGGTACATGTAGGGTTATTCCCTTTCGGTCCTTTCTGTAGTGTAAGGTTCTATTTTGGAGGCCACATGAAGCTGTAGAATTTCCAGCCATCACTGAGAGCACCTTTGTAACTCATGGAGAGTTTTCCTGTGTTAGGATAGCTCTTGTCTCTGTTTTCCTCCTTTACTCAGGAATGCTTCATCTACCCTTAGATCTTTTGTTCTTAGTGATCTTGCAGTGCGTATTTGGGGAGCTCCCTGATGTGCTTGGTGAGGTGAAATGGGCTTTAAAAAAAAGGAACATTGGAGCTTTATGCCGGGAAATGGCAGGCTGGCCCAGGGAGATAAAAGCATCCTCTTACACGAGGTAAATCGAGGCAGCGCGTGGAAGCTGACACCGTGTGAGGTTTACAGACAGGCAGTTACTGCAGAGCTGCTGGCCGTGATAACATGTTTGTGTCCCTGGGCTCCTACAAATTTATCTTACAGTAGTAGAGCTTAAGTGTTTTATTGCTTATCATAGCAGCAGAAATATCTGACAGGGAGTGTGGGAGCAGAATTTCTGGACGGCGTAGGATGATTTGGGTGTGTGAGGAGTACAGTAGGTTTGTGGTTGATTCTGCTGTAAAGCATTTCAGACTCTTCGTGTAATGATCCAAACCATCTGGTTTGTTGTGTTTGCAGTACTGGAACTTCCCAAAGAGCTGTCAGAGATGTTTGATCCAATGAGAGGTACGTTCATTCCCTGACCACGGCTTTGCTGTGTGCCCACAGAAGTGGGACAGTTTGTTTGACTCACTCCCTTTTGGATTATTTTGTGGATGTGGTTTTGTAAGGTGCTTGTGGTCACTGCTGGCTGCTGGCCCTCTACTTGTAGTCAGGCACTCTTAAAATTACTGGTTTCTGGGTGTATTTTTCTGTCTCCATGTTTCCAGCAACCTCTGTTAGAGCTTGCTTAGTTTCTCTTGTCCCCATGCTGACACTAGCCTGTGCTCAGCCTTCCCATGCTCCTCCTTCAGCTTGTCAGCACTATGGAAAGGAAAAATCCCTGTTAAGTCTCGTTTCAGCTGTAGCCTGAGGCTAATCCAAGCAAATATTTTAGGGAGATAGTGTTCTTTCTTTGAAATACCACTCAGTGGTGTTGGTGGGGCTGGTAATTTTGGAGCAGTACGGAGAGGGAGATGCTCTTACGTGTGTTTGGAGTTCTCACTCTGCCCAAGGAATGTCTAGGGGTTGCTGCCTAATGGTAGGAGAGACTCTGGGCTAAGGGCAGGAGAGGTAAAGCAATTTGGTCTAACATAAGGCTAAACTGGGAAACTCTTTTTTTTATCAGCACATTTATTTCCCTTCAGCGCTGGTGGAATACTCTGTAGCCCCAGAGCTCGGCAGAGCTGAGTGCACACACAGGCACTTTGGTGGTGGTCACAGGAGGTGTACAGCTGTCCCTAGTTTCGTGCTCTAGCAGATACTTTGTGAAGGTGCTGCCTTTGTGTAAGAAAACCCCACGAGCCCAAACACGCCCACGTGTGAGCCTCCAATCTGTGTGCTGTGAGCCCTGGGCTCCGCAGTCAGCCCGGAGAACATCCTTCCTCCTTGCCCAGCACCTGCTGCTGCAGATAGTGGATGAAGTCCTGATGATGTCTGAGTACATCTGAAGAGTAAGTTTGAGTTCAGTGTGAGACATGAACTGCTGCAAAGCCCCAGCCACGTAGAAGACCTAGCTTACCCAAAGTAACTGTACTGTGTGACTGCGTGGACTCCATTAGAAAGGAGATGTTTGCTGTCTGTGGTATCGTATGTGGCTTTATGGAGTATTCTTCCCAGTTTGGAGTGGGAAGGTGAAGATCCAGGAGGGAAGGACAAAACAGAGTCGACAGCTACAGAGGCAAAACCCAGGACTGGAAAAAAGGCAACACTACAGAGCTCAGAGAAGCAGTCCTTGCAGCATGCTCCATGCAGCCTCTCATCCCTCTGTGATCCCAGTACTGTTGCCCTGGCACTGGCAGCTGCTTTAAGGCTGTGCACTTTAAGCTGCAAGAGCTGGAGCTCTTGCATAGTGTTTTGTGTTGGAATTACTTTTACTGCGTGGTTTTATCTCTTATTTTAAGCCCAAGCTTCCTTTCACCACTGCCTTCTGTACACACTGTGCCTTAACCAGAGAAGGGATAACAAGGGTGGGGAGAACCCTGGGAAGGTGGGGAACTACCCTGGAGCAGACCAGGAGAGCAGAGTGTTTTGCTACCATGTTTGTCTCTTCCCCAGAATGTATGAACTCTGAGCTGCTGGAAGAGCTGATGTCATCTGAAGGTGAGTCTTGGAGTCTCCCATCATGGTGTGGCCTTCCCAGGAGGAAGGCCGTGCTGTGTGACTTTACCCAGCTGGCAGCCCTGAGACTTCAGACTTGCCCTCATCTTTTCTGGGCTCTGGACACAGACTGTTGTTCTCTCAGTCCTGACAGTTCCTGAGAGAGATGTGAGAGCCAGGAGTCTCTTTGGTACTGCAAGGCTGATTGAAGCAACCTCACAGACACTTTACTGTGAGGTGGCTGCACAGCTCGGTGCCCTTTGGCAGCTCTTGGCTGGGGGTGGCAGCGCAGAGTTTTGTAACCAACCCTGGGCTTCTTTTTCCCCAGTGTTTGCTCCCTTGCTCCGCCTCTCCCCTCCACCTGGAGATCACGACTACATCTACAACCTGGATGAGAGCGAAGGCGTCTGCGACCTCTTCGACGTGCCTGTCCTCAACCTCTGACTTCTCGGTGCAGCTGTGAGCCCTGCAAACACAGACTGTTTTGTAAATCTTTGGAAAGTGTCTATTTTTGGATTCCTTTTGTGCTAGAGCTCGATGGCTGAATAATTCAGAGATGCTCTCATACGGACTCAGAACCAAGAGATGTGGACTTGCAGGCTGGGAGCCTCCCCATAACTCGCTTCTTCCTCTGGTGCTCGTGCAGGATGCACGTGCAGCTTGCCCCCTGCCTCTCTCCACTGGATCCTGGGCCTCTCCTCTAAGGCTCCGTTGTTTTGAGTGTTCCCAGTTCACCTGTAGAGTTTGCCCACGTGCCTCTCTGAGCTTCCTCCAATCTGCATGCCTTGGTTTTTCCTGCACTCCCAGAGGCACTTTGCACCAGCTGCTACGAGGAGCCCTAATACCGTGGTCAGTTCACAAGCCCAGAGGTTGTTAGTTAGATTTCTCCATGTTAGTGGTTCGGATTGAGGTAGTTGTGTTTCTGAAAGGCATGGGGGGGGGGGGGTAATGGCATCAAAGTGTCTATTTCTGCCAGTGATTTCAGACCAAGCTAGTACGTTTTACAAGAAAAAGCACTTTTTTTAGCCAGCTGTGCCTCCTAGTGGGACTCAGGAGCTGAGTCTTTCCCTGCTTGTGCTTCAGCAGGAATGGTGGTTCTGCTTTCGCCAGTCTGCTGATGCACAACCCCGGGGGCTCCAGCTCCTTGTCCAGCAGCTGTGCTGTTTCTACAGGGCTAAAGGAGAGGTGCCAGTATGGTTTCTTTCTTAATTTTCGTTTTTGCCTGACTGAAGAGATGTCTGAAAGGATAAGACTGCTCCAGCTGGTGCCTGTAAGGTACTCCAGGGACATCAGAGCCTGCTCATATTTGCAAATAGCTGTATTCTCCAACCATTGCACTTGAGCCTGCAACTGTCTGAAAGGCGACCAAGCAGTAACAATCCAGTAGTACTTTGCTGTGACAGGTTACGTAGGTGTTGTCAAAATAGTGAGCTTTTTTCCCCCTCCCCTTCTTCTCTCAGGATCAGTTTTTCTGTATATTTGAATTTTTGCCTCTAGCGTCCACAACCATGCTCCCAATCCCTGATCCTGTGGCAGGTCTTTTTCCCAGCACACGATGCTTTCTCTGCACCGTTTTTCCGCAAAATTTTCTTCCTTGCTTTGTAATGGAAGGCCTTCTGTTGGGTTATTCAGGATCATCAGCCGGTACCAGGCTTTGGACCCTGTGCAAGTTCAGTTGGAGGTGTAAAAAATGCCCTGATGGATTTGTGTCGTATTTTGCAAGCCCCCAGCTTTGCGTTTCGGTCAGATCCTGTATTTGAGTGTCTTTAGTTTTGCACATCTTCCTGCCACCGCGGTGGTAGCAGCTGTCCTGCCTTTCCTGCTCCGCAAACTGCCCAAGAGAGAGCCAGGCCAGGCCGTGCTGGGCTCTTGAAGAGAGGTAGCTTCCAGCCATCCACTTAAATAGCTGATGTTTAATTTCCCAACATAGCTGCTCACTGCCTGTGACCCCCACAACCAACTGCAGCACCAGCACTGAGGGGAGGTAAAGTCTGAAGAGCCTGCAGAGGTGAGAGAGGACTATGTGCTTGGGACCTGCATCCCTGAGGTGGCTCCTCAGGCCATCCTCTTATCCACGGGGCTCCTCTGGAAGGACTGTTCCCTTCTGCAGCCCCAAAGCACCAGCAGCCTCTTCGGGAAGAGCGTGAAGAACGCGGGAGGAACAACGGGACACTCCAGACAGCCGAGGTTGTGGGACCCCTCAGGGGGGTGAGCTTCCAGCCTGCATGCAGCCAGTCCCAGAACCTTCCCCTCTCCACATGGAAGCTGACTGGAATCCCTCGGTCCTGCACGTGTTGTTAGCAAGGCTCCCTGGCTCTGGTGTAGCTCCAGCTCTTCGCCTCCCGCCTGGCCCTCGCCCT